CGGTTACGTGTTGCTTGATTTTTCTCCTTGTCAAGTGATCAAAATAATTGTTGAAAAAACAAACCAAACTCCAAACAAAACATAACCCTCCTTCAGATGACACTTCCTTTCATGGCCGTCAGGCCTGGCCCAGAAACTGCTTTGTGCATGAAAGTGGCCCTGAACAGGAGAATGAGCTTTACATGTGTGAATCGCTTGCATGCTGGAGAAGGGGTGTTCTTTGGAGACGCGGGGATCCAAAGCCTTGAAAGCCAGCTTTTCTCGCCCCAGTGACACATGACAACCCCCCCACAAGCGTCTCTCCCCTATTGAGGAGCCTCTTCCATTAACAAGTCCCTACAATGGAGATTATATTTTTGAAAGGAAGAATGGATAAGACTTTCAGTTTCATTAATTTATTTGTTTGCAGCCCTTTAAATTATTTCCTTCTATTGATTTGGTCTAATTGGCATTTCTTTTTGCGCTATTGTTCTATTAAGTAGTGAGATGAGGGAAAGGAGGTAAAAAACTTTTTGTGTTTTTATACTAATCAATTACTCTCTTGTTGCTCATTGTTTTAACGGAGCCTCCTAAGATTATCCCATTGCTCTGTTTAAGATTTCAGCTTTCTATTAACCTGTCAGGGCCAACTTCTCATTCGCTTGACTATCTTGGGAAGTGAAATAGCCCATGTGGACGTACCAGTGGTCCAGGCTGTTTACAACACCGGCGACCCCCTTCGGTGCCCTCTGTGCACCCTCAGTGCTCCAGGTGCAGACCTTAGTCAGGAACACAATGCCCTCATGTGGCAGGCGCTGTCCCGCCCCAATGGCGTCTCTCAGGGTCCGTCAGTGACCCACCAGGTGTGGGGATCAGAAGACACGGTGCCAGAAGCCCCCTTTGAGACTTCAGAGAAGATTCCTAGTCACTGTGCCAGCTTGGAGGAAGGGCTACCACAGGCAAAATCCAGAGGTCTTTCTTACTTGTTTCAGTGAAGCTCTTCTTGGCTTAGTGCCGGCCTGGGGTCCTGCAGCTCCTGAGCTGGTTTCTAGAGTTCTCAGAAACGCTCTTTGGACCGAACATTGCTGCTATTGTAAGTTGATGTCCCTGTGAAGAAACGAGGTGTGGGCCTCTTATTCTGCCATCGTGCTGACGTCACCGTGGCCTCAGGTCTTTAGTAGGAGTCTGCCACGACCTTGGGCTCAGCTTCTCCCTGGGGCCCAGCAGCCCTACGCAAGGCGCCCTCCCAGAAGACCACACACTTCCTTTAAAGGACAAGCCTCTGGCTTGAGTGCGAGAGGAGAACGTGCAGTTACTCTCTTACAAGGCAGCCTGAGGAAGGCTCCCTGTGGCCCCAGCTTCCTGGAGGCAGCGCCCTGATGCATTCACTTGGGCGTGACTCCCTGGCCCACCCTCCTGCTTTTGTGGGATTGAACACGAGGCTGGCCCTGCTCTGGGCTCCTTTGGGAGGTCCGCCCTGTGTGTCGGGGAGACTGGAGCTGCACGTTCTGCTCCATCAGAAGTTCTGGCAAATTTTCTTGTTTTCCAGTCTCATTTCTTTAGAATATATACTCCTGTCATTTCAGGGGACCTTGGGGAGCTGGAAGAAGTGTATGTGTGCTACCGTCTTAAAATGAAAATTTCCGAGCTTTTTTTCCCCTTCAGAGCCTAATTCCGTAATTTTTAGAAATCTTGGCTCCCTTAACCATGGCTTATTAACTGGTATTTGGCGTGTGACTTGCCTGGCAATCAGCAGAGAACGCTTTCCTGGAGGAGTCTCTTGTATTCCGTGGTGGCTGGCTCCGAGTGGAGAGAGGTGCAATGGCAGACACACCACCGTAGAAATCAGATGAGCTTTTCAGAATTTCAAGAACTCAGCTCTAATTTGCATTTTCTATTTTGGAAGAGAGGGTTGGGGACACACGGCTATAAACACAGCTGCTACTGTCGATCATCTCATGAGTTTTCTAACCTTTGTAAGATGAGATGGTTCTGCTCACTCTCTGTGCACCTGGCACGAGACTCCCAGGAGTCGGCCGGCCCTGCGGTGACCACAGGTGAGGGGTGCGCTGCTGGCAGAGTGGGCGGTGCTTTACCTCCGACACCAGGAAACTGCTGTGCCTGTTCTCCCCGGGCTCTCACCGAGGCATCCTGTAGTCGCTGCTTGAAGCGTATTGTTATGAGGAGCCAACTCCTTTGTATTTATCAGCTTTCAAAGTCTGTCCCTCACACCCCCCCCCCCCCCACCAGTGTTTTCGTTTCTCCTTCACCTTGGTTAGGATAGAGTTGTGTGCGTTTTACTTTAAAAGAAGATTGTTGGCAAAAAATTACAGTCCTGGCCCAGAAATTGTCTTCTCTTTTCATAAACAGGCTATGAAAAGCCCACCCAACTATTCATTCTGAGTGTGTTGTTCTTTTAAATCTGTGCAGATTCCTGTTTCATCTTAGGTTTTCTTGTATTTACGAAAACAAGTAAAAATAGCTAAAATGCTTTTTATAATTCCTTTTCTCAGTTCAGTTAGCATAAAGTGGTTTCTAGCCTTGAAACAGATTTGCTGTATGTATAAACAAGGTTTTCTTAGAATGAGCCTTTTGAAACTGGGTAGATGTCTGCATTGTCCTTGCCTGGCCATTGAGACAATGTTGCTCTTTGCTGCGCATCTTTCCCCCGCTTCCTTTGCGCGTCTTTACCCCGCTTCCTTGAGGCGGGGGCCCTACTGCCAAAGCTGCTGTGGCGCCTACCCCACGCCGGTCCCAAGCACTCAGGGTCACCGGGGGTGGGGGCAGGACGGAGAGAAAGCATTGACTGGCGCCAGCTAATCGATTAATTAACAAGGTACCTGTGAGCGCAGATGCTCCCTGACCTGACCCTCTCAGGGGTGTTTTCACTTTTTAAAAATGATATGTTTACACCAAGAAAACCTGTCAAGTTGGCGTAACTTCTGGATGTGCAGCCAGGTGGCGGGGTTGGCGCAGGTCACCGTGACAGGAGGTTCAGGGAGGTAAGGGTGTGGCGGCAGAAGGCCGCCGTCTGAGCGGTGTGGCCCTTTATAAATGCTCTCTATGTATTTGCAGCACGAATGAATAGATGGTGCTCGCCAGACTCCCTGAGTCATGAGTTGTCTGGTTTCAGTCGGTCTCCTGGGCCTTTGCACGGGCGTGGCCAGGTGGGCGGGGTCGGAGCCCGACAGGGCACGTGGGACTCGCTCGTTAAGTGAGGAATTCCTGTGTTCTTTCTCACATAAGCGGTTTTTCCTCATGTAAAAGCAATGCACATCTGCCAAAGACAAAAGATAGAGGTCACCTGTAGTGCCACCATCCAAAGGAAACCAGGGCGAAGAGCTGACGCATGTTATGAGCACCTTCCTTGCAAGGGGAGACCCCAGCGGGGTCTTTTTCTCATTGATTCCCACCGAGACTCTGAGGAGGAGGAAGTGGGCACACATGTGGTAGGGGAGAGGGAAAGAGGCCGCGACTGTGCCACGGAGGGGCCCTGGTAGCTGGAGGGCACGTGGCTTCCGAAAAATAGGGAAGATCTCTTTTCATGCATGAAGTTGTTTATTCCTTGCCTGATCTTTCCAATGCAGCAGCTGGGTGAAATCATAGCTCGGCATTCTAATGGAATGAAATAATGGCACGGCACTGCTTTTTCTGAATGACTCACTTATTCTTTGTAGGCTGTATTCTGGCCCCTGTTAATAATGCAGTTCAGTTAGTTCAGAGTTATAACATACAATGTCACCTGACCCAGGCTCTGTGGTCTCCTCGTGTTCCTGTGACAGACGCCTCATCAGTGTCTTCCAGTGACTTTGGTCATGGAAGTTGTGTTTCCGTGAAGGCTGCGCATCCCTGGCCTCTCCAGGTTGCTTGTTGATACCAGGCAACGCCTGGTCTGCCCTGAGGTTCTGCCGATTTTCAAGTCTTTGGATTGAATTATTGCTTGTTCTGGTGTGATGTTGACTTCCTATTTCAAGCGTCTCCCAGGAAACATCCATATGTTATTGATCCCCATCTTCCTTTTAAAAATATCACAGTAAAAACTTCATTCATTTTTTTTCAGCTATCTTTGTTGTTGCTGTTACTAATTCAATGCAACATTTCTTAGAGGCTGTTCCACCTCCTTCACTGGTATTTCCTGTGCCTTTTAATTTCTTACCTTTAAAATCCTCTCACAGCATTTAATATTTAATAATTCATGCTATCACCAAAGAGGCAACTTTAGTGTCTTGATCATTCAGATTTCTATGGGTGTTAATCCTGGGTCACAAAATAATGCCAGACTTGGAGACCTATCAGTAAGTTGAGGTTGTGCATCTATGAATGGGCTTACCAATGGAAACATCCTGCTGGCTTATTTCTGTTCTGCAAAGAAAGAAGCATAACTATAAATCTCCTAGCCTGATGGTATAGAGAACCTCTTTATGATGTTGAGGTGGAAAGGAGGTAAAACAGCCAAGTCGTAAGCTTCCCATGCCGTAACGGGTACCCTCTGCGTATTGTAAAGGATGCATCTCCGTGAAGCTACATCAGACACTGTTGAGGGTGCAGAGGATTCAAGGCACCTCATGTTTAAGATGTATGTTTCTTGTAACTCAACCTGAAGCCTAGCACAAGGGAGGATATAGTTGGGCAAAGAATGAGTTGACTCTGCAATGTTGTATGGTAAGATGCTTTGGTTATTAAGATACAAATAGTGGGGGGAAAATCACTTTGTAGAAGACTTTCCAGAATAATCTTTTTCTTTTTTCTATAAAACATTGAGGGTAGCCTATACTGTCAATCTAAGGGAATAACTAACTTTAAAATAATAAGCAAAGTAAGTCAGTAATTACTGAAAGGGCTGCAGTGGGGTGGCTTAAATATAATTCATGGGCCTGGTGGATCTTTGATACATTACAGGCCAGCAATTAGAAATTGCCCCAGATTACTGAGAAGGATTGCAGATTGCTTAGCTACTACTTTGTTTCCTTGCACATATGGTCTAACGTGGCATGTCAACATGTACTCTTTCTTGTTTTCAGCATGCACTCCTGGCTTTTAAGTTTATCCTTGCGTTTGCCATTCCTGATAAACCACGACACATCCAGATGAAACTGGCCAGATTGGAATTTGAGTCTTTGGAGGCACTGAAGCAGCAGGTAAGGGCAACTGTCCTGAGAATAACTGTATTTCTTTAGCAAATGCCAGGAGACAGAACTGAGAGGACTCACTCTCAGCATGTCCTTCTGCCTGGACCTTACAGTTCAGATGACTACAAAAGTCCCCAGCTTAGGGTGGCGTAACAAAACCAGTGTCCAAATGATATGAGCAACAAAGAGGTTTAATGAACTAAATAAACTAAGCAAAACAAAGATATTCAAGCAATGTTCAATAAAGAATAGAGCTGGCATTCAGCAAAAAGAACAGAGATTTCCAAGAGTCACCCTGGGGCCTCGCCCCGCAGTTTCTAAATCTGCCTCCTACAGAAACGTTGAGCAAGAAGAAGTGAGTAAACAGAATCCTGAGTATCTGGCAGAGTGAGAGAGAACAAGAAAGTGTGGGCAGAAACAGCAAAAAATGCCAAGAAGCAGAAACCTCTTCCCAGTGACTTCCACATTCTACTAGAGACCAAAAAAAATAAAAGAGAGAATAAAAATATCATGCTGGAATTCACCAGTGCTCCCTCGTGTTGGGGGTCTGAATAATTCCTCAACGTCCCCAGTGACATTTTCAGACTCACTGGGCACATCCTTCACACACTCTTCTTCCCCCTCCTTCCTCCTTTTTTTTTTTTTTTTTTTTAACAAGCAATCATATGCTTTTTTTTTTAAAAGAAAAGAACCTAAACAGCAGATCAAATCTTTAGAATAAAGTTATTTTCACATAATATATATTTTACACATAAAGTTGAGGCCATGAATCAAGTGGGAAAACCAAGATGCCATACGAGGCACGTGGAATTTGCTTATAAATTCCTCAGTAAACCTCAAGGTCAGAGGGAGACCAAGGCCAGGGCAGGCCTGCAGGCTGTGAACTTGGCACCCCCTTCAGTATTGTAAACTAGTTGTTCAGCTCTCATTTAAACAAGAGGCTGAGGCCCCGTGGGTGAGGGGCAGAGAAGCCGGTGAACCGGAGGGGCGGGCAGAGCACAGCCCCCACCACACAGCGACGCTCCTTCGACTTCGCAAGGAGCGTGTGGGCACAGGCCATCGGAAGGTCCCCCAAGCGCCGATCCTCAACTTACGCGTGTCCTCCTTCCTAAGACGTAACTGCCTGAGGGGCCCACGTGCCCCGGCTCCCCCGGCCGCCCGCGCCACCTCTCCTTTCGCAGTTGTCCTCCCCGCACTGTGCAGAAAGGGCGCACCTCTCAGCATCTGGAACCCTACCGTGTGCCGTGTCCCCGGGGTGAAAACCCTCCGGGCGACAGAGCGCCTTTCAACACAGAGGTGGCAGGGGCTAAGCTGCACCCCACCAAGGCGCCCCAGTCTCCCGCCCACCAAAACCGAATCGTCCCCTTAGGAGATGCATGTCTACAATGTATCCAGAAACTTAGGTCACGTAATTGTTTATCAAAGCGTATACCATATTCATAAAATGTTAAAATCATTAATGCATCAATAATAATTATAATGACCTGTCAGTCCAGAAGAAAATTTTACATTTTTGCAACTATTTAATTTTTTGATGAATATTTTAGATGTTGACCTAATGTTGTGTGGGAGGGCACACAGCACCCCAAAATTTTAAGAGGCATGAAGCAAAAATATTTTAAATTGTTAAGCATTGTCTTTGGCGGAGCTTTCCCCATTGACTGCGCTCTCAGTGAGGTTTTATAGTTTGGGGCAGCAGCTTCCGTCTGGCGCGAGCTCACCTGAGCTCCGGGTCGCGGCCAGGCGGGCTTTGTGCCGGTGAAGCCTTCCTCCCGCTCAGGGTTTCACGCCATCACATATTTGTCTGAAAGAGACTTCATTGATGTTGGATATTACTTACATGTCTCAGGCCACGGAACACACTCACCTAAAAGCCCTGCTGCATTTGCCTTTGGAAGACTCACGGACGTTGGTGTTCATTGTGAATTTGGCCTCTCTAGTCATCTCAGCTCCTCGATTTCCCTGTCTTCAGATACTCCCCACCTGACAGTGAAGTAAAGCCCTAATTTAATGGCAAAATTTATTTACACTCATCTCCATTGAGAAATGGAACACTAACCAAAATTCTATCCCCTATTAACTTAAAAAGAAGAAAAAAAATCCAAAAGATGTTAAGTCTCCCTGAGCTATAAGTCTTCTGAGTCATAGACGTGGTTCTCTGATCCAACACCACCTTCTAAGAAAAACGTGACTTTGGTGCCAGCTTTGCTGTTAGAGTTCTGGAGGGACAGACATGTCCAAAAGGGTTTGACTCGGTACGTTTGTCAAATGCCTTCAGACAGGGCGTTCCTAGCTTGCACTCCAGGTGACTAAAGCAGTACGTGCATGGCTCAGAAGTCCCCAGCCTTTCAGTGGGCAGGAGTCAGGGTTTCTTAGGACCTGGACTGCAGACAGGGAAAAGTGGTCCTCCCTCTGCTACTGTCTTGATAAAATTACAAGCTGAGAGCACAAGGCCCGGGGTGAAGCTGCGCGGAGATCTGTTGCAGCGGCCCCGCCTCTCGCTCCGTGCTGGCCCAGGGCTGGGTTGCATGGTCGGCACTGCTGAGTGGGCCCAAGCCTGTGCCGCTGTCAGTTGGAGGCAGAGGTTTGACCTCACCTTTCCCGCCGTCCTGGGGCCCCAAAGTCCAGACGGTTCTAGGTATGAAAGGTCACCTGCCTGTGCTTTTCAGAAACTCAAATTAACTAGCGTGTCTTCCGTTTATTTGCTGAACTATTGACATTTCTAGGATATAGAATTTTCCTTATTTCTCTTTAATCTGACATTTAACTCTCTGCTTTGTAAATAAGTGGAGCCTCGACTCACTGAGCTGCTCCCACGTGGCGAAGGCAGGGCGGGCTTCCGCCCTGTCCTAGCAGCCGGTGCCTCAGGTCGCAAACGGAATTATTGAAAACATACTTAAGAATAAATCTTACTAATGCCTGGCCTCTCCCCAGACTCACTATGAAGTGACCAGAAATTGATAGTAAACTTGTCCATAGAAATTATTACATAGGATTAGTTCTTATGTTTAATTTATATTTGAATTGCTACTTTTCAACTCAGTTCCCACTTTATGGACAAAACAATTGAGAAATTGTAAGTCATCAGAGTTCTTCAGTTGGGCTGCATACCTTGAATGTAGAACTTTGAAAAATACACGTGCCTAGACCCCACACCCTGAAGTTGTTGTTATTTTATTATTAGAGAGAGAGAAAAAACATGGATGTGTTTTTCTACTCATTGATGCAGTTACTGGTTGACTCTAGTATGTGCCCTGACTGGGGATTGAACCCGCAACTTGGCGTAGGAGGATGGTGCTTGAACCAACCGAGATACCCAGCCAGGGCTACCCTGAAGTTTCTTATTCCCTAGATCTGGGGAGGGGGGAGTCACCTACATTTATAAAACCCTTCTTATCGCTCCATGCCCCCCACCGCAAACCCCCAGCAAAGATAGATCCCAGGCGTGGTCAGGTGAGTGCTGGGAAGAAGTGAGTTCTGGGCCGAGTTCAGCCGCTGTAGACGAGCCAGGTGGCCTCTGTGCACCTCAGTTTTGTTTTATAAAATAGAGGCTGGGCCCCGCGGTCCGTGGGAAGGCTCAGGCTTCCACGTCAACACCCAGCACCTCTGTGATCCTAGCGTAGGAGCCTGGGCCCGCGTGGAGAAGCGCCTGCTTGGTGGGTTCATTACTCCTCTCGGCTTGCGACGGCTGGGGCCGTGGTGAGTGTGGGAATGAACGGGGGCAGGTCCTGGAAACTGTTCTCTTGTCGTGTCAGACAGGAAACTGGGGTTTTTTAACATGTGAGCAAATCAGATGTACCCAAGGTGAGAGGCCGCTGGGGAAGGTAAAACTGTTTGCTTTGCAAAGGGCATCTTTTGATGATTGGGCTTCAGTTGGTGAGACCTTTACAAAGAATTCTAGACAGTAAATATCATTGTAGTGATGCCTTCTTATTTATTTTCAAATTGATTTATTCAACTCTCAGTAGTTTTAAGATCCAGTTAAAAGTAGAAAGGAGTCGCTCGACGGGGTGGCCTGGAGCACAGGGACAGGACATCCTCGACAGCCTGGCTTCGGCCACCGCTCGAACCGGCCTCTGGGCAGCCAGCCCTTCCAGTGCCACCACGCCCGCGGAAGCCAGAGCACTGGGTCCAGATGGAGCCTTCGAGAAAAGTAGCAGCTTAGGAGATCAGTTGAAGGAACAGGATAAGGACTTTAAGATGGGGCCCTTGAGAAGGCAGGCCAGTGGCCTGCTGGATTATGAAGTGTCTTTGTTTGCTGGGGACACATGTACTCAAACCAGTTACAACAGTTCCCGAGAGCCTCTGGCCTTTTCTTCCCCTGCATTTGTTCTCTCAAGTTACAGTAGATAAATGAGCATCTCTAAGGGAAAGGTCCAGGTTTTACCCACATAGTGAGGGTACGAAGTATTTGACTGTTGATTATGTAATCACACGTTGATCTGTCAGCACGTCCTTCAGAATGAAACGCTGCGTCCAGATAAAGAACTGGCTTCTAGGAAAGCAGAGGGCAGGCGGGGCCGGAGCCTCAGACCCTGGGGAGGGGGCGGCCCGCTTCCCAGGACCCAAGTCTGGTCCCAGCTCAGGAAACCCCAGGCAAAGGTAGAGCAAAGTCCAAAGTATGTCAGGATTCAGGTGGCCTTCTGAGCCGATCTGTCACTTTTCCTGTGTCAGGTGGTTTGTCTCACAGCCCTGGGCAGCTTCAGGGTGAGTGACTTGACCTGTGTCACACATGTTTCCCCAACACCAAAATGGATCCGAGGAAAATGCTGCCAACCATGTAAGGTCAAGTGTGGCTGGAGGGAGACAGTGTGACTAAGAGTGGGAAGCAGGGCAGTGGGGAGGTGGTGGCGGTGGTCATGGCGGTGGCGGTGGCGGCGGCGGTGGTGGTGGTGATGGTGGACCCCTCATGCTTGAGTGCCCTGCATCACTGGGCAAACCAGAAAGGAATTATGGGATAAAAATGGTACCATTTTTTGGTAAAACCGACGACGAGCCACAACTCCACC